CCACATAGGTCGTTAGATGTTAGTAAACCAAAATCGGATGACAAACGATTAATAATAAAAATAATAAAGCAACTTAATAATCAATATACAATTACAATTAATATTCCGCTCGATAGAACATCACGTTACGAGTTATTGAATGTATCCGATTCGTTTCAAGTCTAAAATCTTGTATATAAATACTGTTCTTTAGGTTGTATTATAATACAACCAATTACAGTATAGTTGATTTATACGTAGTTTATGGCGAGTAGATAATAGTGGGCGCAGTTAGTAAGCATGGCAAGCGTCAATCTGTACGCATTAGTTATTGATGGTGGCAGTCGAGGTACGAGTTCGTGGCTGGCCCCGGGAGGTTACTGAGACCGCACCTATTTCTCGCGAATTGTGCTCACCGTACGTATTTTGCACAATTGAAAATGCCGACGTGATGAACGATCCAGTTGGTTGAGAATCGATCATCAATTTTTCAGCTCCACCCTCTCCCGAACGTGGTCGTATCGCACCGCAATAGCCCTCAATGTATTTTCAGAATCAATAATGTAATTTGCCTGGCAAGAAAAAGAACAACAGAACCTGTAATCGCAAAACCTGAAAATTGTGTTAGCGAACAGCTATGCACCTTGAATTTGTGCTCTCTTTTCTAATCGGAATAATTTGCCACCTTAATGATCTGAAATTAGAGGACGAAATTTAACAAACGGAAATTCGTTTGACAATGGTCCCAGAGCTGAAACGTTGAAAAAATAACCTTTGAACCTAATCCGCATTGGTTGTTAACGTAATATAAATCTATAAAGTGATCCATTCATTCATTCGTTGTTTTAGCAATTTTTGATTTATTGAACTGTAATTTCGAACGAGTTTTGCAATCTGCATTGCAATACGAAACATTAGGTACGTCTACTTTAGTTGGCCACATTTATAAGTATCGGTTAGTAGGCAGTGTGCGCGATAGGTTGAGTTATGTATGCAAATCAGGCACACGCATGCTGATTCGATCAAAGTTTGCAGCTAAGAACAAAACATATTCATGGTGAACAATGCGTAAAATGATTCTTTGAGTTGAGTATAGCACAGAAAAGAACATTGCTCTAATCTCGAGATGCCTGAACCGGAGTAGGTACTGTTCTTGTTAACTACCGGTAAGCGTTACATTTTAATTTAAACATCGCTAAGCTATTTACTTTATATTGTTACAAATTTGTTTCTTCGTGAAAAATTTGTTAGCAACCGAAAATAAAACATTTAACAAAAACAAATTTCAGAATATACTCGTGTAGGCTGTAGATACAAAAAATCTTATTTATATTTTTCGTCTGTGTAACATCTCCGAATCGTCAGAAAACTTTCAAACACAATCCTTAAGAAATATTTTTATAAGAAAATAGAACACGACTCCGACAAGTCATACGAATCCAAAGGCGGAATATTTTATTCCATTTATTAAACATTAACTGTAAAATTATAGTATGTATTATTTCTGGTATTTTATTAATTACTTTTTTTATTCTATGAATGACTTCTTAAACTTATTCAACTTTCAAAACTCCTTTTGTAATGAACAAAGAATGGGCACAGTATATTTATCTAAACTTCAAGTAATATAAATAGAGTGGAACACCTCTTCGGTTTAAAAAGAAATGGTTAAAAAATTCAAAGCAAAATAATTAACTCACAATTACAAAACTTTTCATCTAAACACCGTAGTAGACTAATTGCTTTTTACACATCAAAAATATACTACAACAAAATACAATACAATAATGCCGGGCTTTCAGAGGATTATCCACTCTATGCGTATTACTTTCTTGAAGTAGACTCTGCCTATTCTGATCTCAGGTAATGAAAGAATTACTTTGAGTATTCTTGTTACGTTACTGAGCAGAAAATCTACTAAATTTGACCGTGCGATTATGGTTTGGGTTATATCAAAATCTTAAACGATATATCAAGAGAGAATATAATAGGTGGTTAATATAATTTATAAATCATAATCAAACTCTGAAGTAGGGATAACTACGTCCAACATTACACGTGCCGGCGATAGTCAGGTACGTGTTAGCTAGAAATAAATGGCTCCTTTACCGACCCGAATACCTTACCTGACAGATACGGCCGCCGTATTTTCTGCGCTATGTTCAATATACAGACATTATAATTATAATACAAGTTCTGCACTATATCGATAATAACATTTCTGACATTACCAAATATTTACAAGACGTTGCTTTGATTTACTGACTACCAGGTGAAACGATGAGTACATTGTTATTCGGAATTAGAATAGAAATAAAGCGTCCCAGATTTTTAAAATTTATTGTTTTGCGCTCGTAACGCTAACTACGTAGTCATTGTTGGTATTTTAACGATACATTAAAAATAAAACCCTTTTAATCCGCTTCAATAATGTGTGGTAGAGCAGCCATTAGAGCGTTTAAATAATGGCGTATTACCCACGGAAAAAGCAGGTAGCATTACGGGCGCACGGCTCACACAGGCAATCTCTTTGAAATTGCATCGTGGTGTACCCTATTTAACGGGTCGCCGGTCTCGATAATTAAGTCTGATATTTTTTTCAATCTATGAATTTTTGCGGATAGTGTGAAATTTAAAAAGTTTCTGTAAGAAAAGAATTGTTATAATCATAGAAAGCCGTTTTTGTTGTTTAGAGTGGTCTTTTACTTTCGTGTAATTTATGTTTACTATTTACCTAAGCATGTGTATACATGGTCAATAACAGACGCGGGGATTTCTCCGCCGGCACGCGGGTATCTCACGCGATGGTATCGTAAATTACGTGGATGGGATAGAAAGTTACCCAGGTATTCTGCAAAATGAGAGTTGTATATCTAATGACTTTTTTAATTATTAAAATTCAAATTATCTAAAGTGTGATACTTTAAAGAATATTAGGGCAGAACACTAGCAACCTTGAAGCTAATGAATATAAAATATCTTTAAAGACTCTGTTCCCGTGAAAAGTCAGTTCTTGTTAATATTCTATATTTTCTCTATCTCGTAGTTAGAACAATAAATTTTAAAGACTATCGCATAAACAGCCATAGTGGAATTCACATCCCATTGCTGAAATAACGTTGCCATTGGCACATCAAAGTAAATATTATGCGCAACTTTATCGCGCTAATTTATGTATTTACTAGACGGCGAAGAGACATAATTAGGTCAATACATTTATTAGGTGCAGTTTCAGACAGCCCCAGTACATTGCCGTCAGATTTGACTCTAATGCTTGTTGACAGGGCGCCGCCGTGGCACACGCTTCTCGCCGGCCCTGAGACCATCACCTACGGGAATTATTGATCTTATTTGAGCTTGATTAACTCCGACGTTGTCGGTGTGCTAATAATATCACAAGTCTGGCACCCGTCCAGGCGAGGCCTTAATGGTACTTCGATGCACGGTAGCTTCAAAGGTGACATGTTACAGCGTTGCGTTCGATACGCTCACTCATACGAATCAGACAGATTCTGATGAGGACTCAATCATGAAATAAAACTCCTACACGAGCTTCGCACGCAAGAAAAAATATAACTTTATTGTTAACGCATAAATTACGCTAACGGCCGCGATTATTACAAATATTATGCAAAACGGATTCTTACAAATATTATGCAGTAACTTAAATATACTTGTTGTAATGTAAATAACTTGTATTATGAATGTGCCATTTAAAACAATTTTATGTCAAACATGAACGAAATTGTATTTCTAAAATTACTTTATTAAGCACGGTTAAGTAAATGTACATGTGTGTATCTAATATTCTATATACAATATCTAATGTCATTAACACTTGATTTTGTTAATAATATAACTACAAGCATACAAAGACAAGTGCTTTTAAATTGTAGGATGACATGATATGGGGGTCAACTTATGTAGTAGCAAAACGTTTACTTGCACATTGCATATTTCCATTTTACTAAATTGCAATGTGAAGTATCTTTTTCTATAGATCACAATCATCATGACGACCGCGGTGACCCAACGGTTTGAACCGTGGGCGCTGGATGAACACGTCCCGGAATCTATTCCGGGTAGAACCTATTTGGGAAATAAACTTTTCTAAATTGGTTCTCGTAGTGAATTCCGCTGTTCTCTGATACTCATGGTAGCGGGAATTCTCGTGTGTGCCTATCACATTATTATTAACTAAATAATATATAATTACATATTCCCTCTGAACAAATTTTGTATCGGCGAAACCAAAAGTGCTATGGAAATAATATGCGGGCGTCAGTTCCATAAAGGCCGTCATATAATCCTCCGCCCAGTCAGTGCTGCATCAGTTACGTTTACCCAAAACCGAACGACTAGTGTTAATACAGTCAGGTGGGTTTCATAATAAAAGTCGACTTTAATGACTGTTGATTAAAGCATAGTAAATGTCATTTATACTCAAATTTCACAAGGAAATTTCATTCTTCTTTGTTTACGAGCATCGAACACAATTTTAGAACTAAACCCGCTCCTGTGCATCAATGAAATTCAATTCAAAGACATAGCTATTTTGAAAATAAGATCAATTCAGCGATCACTCAGCCACTTTATAAGTCTATATACGGGTGATTGTGTCTTCGGATGTGTTGACTCGTATAATGATGATCACAGTTCAGATGTTCAACCCTAATTTGGTGAATATTATATGTAAGTTACGTACATGTGTAATGAATGTATTATATAAGAGCGTCTGATCCCAGACCTGATACATGAGAGCCTATTAGACACGGCTCTATGTAACATAGTGCTTCGAATGATATCGTCAGAAAGTCGTATGAGCCTCCACCTTAATAATGTTTTTTAGAGTATTCAGGCACATGCTGATATGTATAACAAACGACATCGACATTGTATAACATCAATGGTACAAATTGAATTTACAGACGATGACATGAGATCATAATATCTGGTGGTGTTATGATACATACATTAACATGCCCCACATGCTAGTACCATAAAAAAATAAAAGGTAATACCAGCAGTGTAGGTGTCCCCGTATCGATGACATTGCCGTTACTCACCTGTAAGAAAAAAAACAAAATTTCCGTGAATGCTTGTATCCTCAACAGTAAACAAAAGCTTAATGAATAAATTAAAACCGCTGAACGCAAACAACAAAAATTAAACGAGTACGGTTAAGTGAACCTCTGAATTAACAGAGATAAAAGGTTCATGGTTGTGTTCGCCAAACATTGCCGAGATGAGATATTGGAAAAGTCGACGACGAATACTGGAATATATCGAAATTAACAAAATTTTGGCCGCGAACTAAAAACGATCAAAACTTTGCCTTAGGATCCTTTTAATTTAAAGAAATAATAGATTCTCGTTAGTAGGAATAAAGAAGAAAAAAATATTATCGATATTATTTAGTACTATGAACAGAACTCAATTTATTTTCATAAATTAAGCAACGTGTACATGTTATTTATTTTAGTTTTATGTAATTTCGTCGCTTTGCTTGGCCATTTTAACGTACTGTGAATATATTTTGTCTAGGTACTGCGTGTGCGTGGGGATATGTTCAACCATTTTAGAAATATACGATATTGGCTGAATATTAACGAGTAGTGTGCTCTATCCAACGTGCGAGCGTGAACACGTAGATATTTAGCAGGGATTGTTGTGTACGCGTGATAAATGATGCACTTTCAGTGTCAGGTATTGCATTACAGAGCTATCGGGGCGGATGGGCGCGACTGCCGAGCAAGCGTTGGCACTCGCCCAAATATTTTTCAAACGCCTCGCCCGCACCAAGATCACTTGCCCTGAATCGGTAAACATTTTCCACTGAGCCGCAATCTTAAAATTTATACAATATTATAAATTCAAAATTTCAACGCGCAACAAGTTTACTTTTTTTTTACAAGCGCATATATTACTTCGACAGATGTCTCTTTCCAGAATTTTGTATGGTGTAACAGGTGCAAAAAGTACATGTACGACTTAAAGTAACTCTACTAGTAGTGATATTTGCTAACAATGACATGTAAACAATGTAAACAATACTTTGTCTAACACAGTTTAGCGTGGTGAGAAAAATTTATACTCCGACGAAATCAGAACATTGCTAAGAATCGTGTAAGTCAATAATACAACATCAAAGAAACAAATATCTGTCTGCGGGAAGTATTTGAAACATTTTCAATAAGCGTTTATTGTCCACTGAATGTTAATCAAAGTATTGGCGCTAGCGTAAGGCGTAAAGTGGGAATGTGCATTGCCCGATTAACTCCATTCTCATGTAAATAGGACGGTGCTAACGTGGTTATAAAAGATAGGTACCCATTTTAATTAGATAACTGAACATCCAGTTTCCAATATCAGCCAATAACACGAGGCCGTAAACGAACACAATGAAACTACCAAGAACATGCAAGTACATACGAGCATTTGTTTCTAGCGATATAAGTAATAATAATAATGCAAATGTGAACAAGCTTATTGTAATAATGTCATTACTGCCTTCGAAATAAAATAAGTTGTGAAATGGTGCTAATTTTGTAAGTCCGTATTACCACATCATGCGTAAAAAAATTTAACTAATTAGGAAAATTTAGTAAATTTTTCTGTAGGTAACCGTATAAATAAACATTTAATAATTTTAATTAATATGCAGTACCTTTTAATAAACATAACAACTGTAGCAAAAAAACGTAAAATTGACGTGTGATAGTGTTAAAAAGAAATGAATGTACGCCTTGAAGCTGTAAACTATGAAAACATAGTTATTAATTACAGACAATGTAAAGAGAAATCATTATTGCCTATTACACAAAGACATGCTATAATTAATGAACGACATATGCTGCACAGTGTATAATATAGTCTACTTTCCACTAGTGTCGTTTCGTTCGACGCAGTGATCGGATAGAACCGATTACAGGACCGAGGTGTGTTGGCGGCAGTAGTTGCTCTGCGATTACTAACTGGTATTTATGCGAACAAGTTCGCCTTCGAATATGAGATGCAATAACTATCATAACAAACACCACAATGCCAAGCGCAAAACTATTTACTAAATCTCTATAACCTTTAGTAAAAAAACAAAGACAGTGTTCGAGGTCAATATTATTTAAATTAACCTTTTCGAATGTATTAGCATGGAATGTACGAGAAAATGTTTTGTAGAATGATGCAAACAGTCAATATTTTTTTCGTAAGTCGTTAGTGACTGCGAATAAGATTTATTACAATACATCAATAACTATAATAAGTAAGCATCCATATAAATAATAAGAGGACCTTAACACTGGGCAGGAGTGATAAGAATATTATTGAGTATTCAGTCTCATATTAGACACAAACAATTTAATGACTAACTAATCACTTATCAAGAAAAAGAGTCCAGTTTACTAATTACCAACGAGTATTTATACATAATTAAGTAATCACTTCATACGTACATCTATTAGATGTAACATTGAGTGTGGGACCTTATGTATTATAAATGTGGAGACAAAAAAGCTACCAACATGAGCAGAAATAGAATTCATTGAGAGCCCATGAGCGCGGAAACATTGAAAACGATTCCTTTCACCCGTGGAGTTTTGTTTGAAGCCCTCTCGTCCGGTTTTGTGAGCTGTGGGGCAACACGAAGCAATCAAAGCTCGGAGATATACGCTAACAGCTACCATACCATACAGTCAAAACAACCTTTTTAGCTAGCTTTGGAAAGCTGTGTCTGCCTAACCCAATGGGAAAAGAGCATGAAGTACATTTAGTTTTGATCATATTACTAATAATGTATCTAATAGATGTAAGTAATTAAGACGTCTTTATTAATATGCCAATAACATTCACAATTAATACACTTCAAACAGTATGTGCCCAAAATAATTAGGAGAGTGTATGTTGCTATTACAACATGAAATACGAAATCATACAAGGAATACATCATAAGTCCTTTCCAATTTTACCAAAGCTTCTATGTTGATGTATTTTATACTTCGCTTGCTACAACATTGAAATGCATAGTAGATAAGAATTAGTAAAGTCAATTGTTATAGATGCACAAATAAGAAAAAAAAGCAATGTACTTCTTTCAATAGAGATAATGCATGACCTCGTTATCTGAATGTTAATAACACGCAATGCCCTTCATATAAACAGCGATAACAGGAAGACAGAAGGCTATAATTATTTACTACGAACCAATCAAAATGAAAATATAATGAATTGCACTTGACGCAGACGAACGAAATGATCATACGAAATCTGGAAAATTCTATGCATACTAAATTGCATTATATATACGTAACGTAGTGTATTCCGTCATAGACACTTTAACACGTTTTAAATCGCAATCGTCTAATATTTTGTAGCGACCATGAAACGTGTGAGTGCGTCCTGAATACCTACTTTGGAACGTGGCCTGAGGAATTTAAGATGACAGAGGAAATGTAAATTATATATAATAGCATTCACGTCGTCGACATTCGCTTGATATGACGGCAGTTCTCAATAGCTCTAACTGTTGGACAAGAGCCAATTTGTCCAAAAACAATTTTGAGTAGATTGTTAAACGAGCTAAGCTTACCGCCGTGATTGCCCACCGGCGGCGGGGCGCTTCGTGAAAAATAAAGACGTCTGCTATAATGTTCGGTTTAGAAGAAAATAATACACCGCTAGTAATCTGAAAAACAGTTAGATCTCTTAAGGCTTGAGGTAAACCAATTAGCACGCTCTGGTCCATGAAAGTCAGCGGGTGCCAAGCCACAAGAATTAACAGAATATAAGAATAAAGTTAGTGGTAAAAAAGAACACGACAAGCATTAAAACAGACCTCAAGAATTTTTTGTACGTATATTTTATGTAGTACTCAAATACGACGCAACCCCAAATTAGAGACAAGATTCCGTTACATCCTTCTGCCTTATTCACTTTGTGGAAGACTTGCCAGGAGCCAACCGGAACGGTCCTTCCTTCATTTTGCAGAAACTTTTACTTTGAAAGATATCTTTCTGGCAAGTAATGCTTTGCCATCAAAGGATTTTAGTCCAGTGACTCCTAAAAGTTCGTACTTTGTTTCTCGTATACTTACTGCAAAACATATTTTGAGACAAGTTTAATATCAAATAGGGCGTTAGACAAAACGGACTGTTGATAAGTGCCCGTCAGCGAGAAGATTCCGAGACAAATGAGCACAGAGACGAGCTATTAGCACAATTTTACACAAAGAAAGTAACATGAAATCGTCACGACGATTTCTTTAGATGTGTAAAGAAATGCATCACATGTAATAGTGTTACAAATTTTTTTTTTAATTTCCGTAAAATAATTTACGATTGGTGCCGCATAAGTGAATGATTGCGATCCCAGCCATTTCCTGTTTTTAAAGGGCTTTCCGGTAAGCGGGAGTCCTGTCCCAAAACAACCCTATATAAAAGCTAACTGAAGGGAAATTAAGTTGCAGTTCCGATTATAAGGCGCTCATAATTGCGTCTAAATTTCAGTGGACTACGCGTCTGTCGCTGCGCCAACTCAACAATGCTTAAAATTTTAAGTTTTTGGCAGTTCTTTCGTTTTTCTTTTTGTTCGATAAAAAGAAATTCTTTTATTTCCACATACAATATTGAGCTAATTGTTTTCTAAAGAGGCAACATTATAGCTATTTACAGAATTCTACCAAAATGATAAAGGGCCGAAAGAAAAAATCACGGTCTTTCAAATTGAACATGGTTAGAGTTATCCTACCGAGGTACAAGAGGTTGGGCTTTTCCTTTGGACCGTATTATCGTATGGGGCATAGGGTTGAATTTAAATATTAAGAATAGAGGGAGATGTATGGTTGTCTATACACATGTGTATACCTATTTACATATTGTTTTCCCCGGCAATAGTGAACTAAAATGTACTGTTTGATAACTCTCTACATAAAATATAGTCACTTTCACGGTATTGCACGGGCTCGTAATTGGCTGTTATCTCGGTGTCGTCAGGGCTGAATATCGTCAAGTTTGGCAACAGTGACTGCTGAAGATTCAGATAAATAACTCGACTGATGAATTATGAATCTCGC